CCCCCTTTCCCTCTCTTTATCATACAAAAACCAAAACTGTTGATTTTAGGGAGTTATTCTAAGAGAACGCTCATTAACACTCTACAATAAGATATGAGGAAGGTGCTCCATTACCAGGAGAACTGGATCCTTGCCGCCAGACGTAGTGATCTGAAAAGCCAGACTTGAACTTCAGTGTACTGTAAGAGAACGTGGGTTTCACCTGAAGCTGGCTTTTGCGAGGCCGCGACTGGCAGCGTCCTGCTGCTTGAGAAGTGGCTTGTCTGGTGACGCTTGGGAGGGCGTGCGATCCCACTGTTGCTCTTGGCTGCGCGCTTGAGATCGTGATGCTATCAAAACACAGCACAGCTTTTCCGCTGCAGTTTTGAAGAGCATCAAGTAGGAAGCAAAGGAACAAACAAGTAGTTGCTTTCAAAGCTGCTGGTGAGAGCAGCTCACAGGAGACCAAGATTTATTTACTTTGTCCATGTACAGAAGTCTATGAGCAAATAAATGCTTCTAGAGAGGCAGTCTAAAGTTGAAAGGAAAATATAATAGCTTTATTATTACTGAGGGTAATAGCTTCACTTCTTTGGTAGTTTATCGTCATCTTTTCTCTCATACTTTTCAAGCAACACTCTCAAATTTTCTTTACTGCAAAAGGCAGCATGTTTTTTTCTTGTATGCTGTTAAATTGCCAGAAGGTCAAGGGAGATGATTCTGCCCCTCTGCTCTGGCAAGACCCCACCTGTGTCCTGTGTCCATCTCTGGAGCCCTCAGTGCAGAAAGGAAGGGACCTGTTGGAGCGGGTCAAGAGGAGGCCACAAAAATGATCTGAGGGCTGGAGCACCCCTCCAATGAGGAAAGGCTGAGAGAGTTGAGGCTGTTCAGCCTGGAGAAGAGAAGGCTCCACGGAGACCTTATTGCAGCCTTCCAGTACCCACAGGGGGGCCTGCAAGACAGTTGGACAGTGACCTTTTACAAGGGCCTGTAGTGACAGGAGAAGGGGTAATGGCGTTAAAGAGGATAGATTTAGATTAGATATAGGGAAGAAATTTTTTGCTTTGAGCATGGTGAGGCACTGGAATGGGCTGCCCAGAGAAGCTGTGGCTGCCTTCTCCCTGACAGTGTTCAAGGCCAGGTTGGATGGGGCTCTGAGAACCCTGGTCTAGTGTAAGGTGTCCCTGTCCATGGCAGGGGGGGTGTAACTAGATGCTGTATAAGGTCCCTTTCAACCCAAACCATTCTATGATTCTATGAAATCTCAGTTGCTTTTAGATACCATCAGTAGCACTTATGTTGGAAAGACAATGAATGGCTTCTTGTGATTTATGGTGTGTTTCTCAACAGTGAAGTTAGTCCGGAGGGCTCTGTCTTGTGTACTACAAAAATCCCTGACCATCACTGGAGCCTAGGAGAGTTAGGAGCAGTCAGCACGTTACTGGGAAAGGGTTAAGAAAGAAAAGGCCCAATCTGTCCACAAGATCCCAAGTTGACGAGCAGTAACAAAAAATAGACCTATGTTACCCTCCATATCACAAGGCAAAGTCGAAGTCATACATGAAATACCATCAGGCCTGAGTATTTCGAATAAGATTGGCCAGACCTCTCAATACAAGGGATGAAGTTGCACAATGCAATTAGGAGAAAGGCCTGTTGGTGCTTGATGAGATAGTCAGGCTCCCAGAGGGGCTTCCCGCAAGTCAGGAAATAGACACCTCTGCAGTTTGGAGGCTGGATTCGTGCCAGTCAGCAAGGGCGTCTTTTCTTTTTTTAAACCACATCTTCTGTTAGATTAGATTTTTGTCAATTGGTCAATAGTAACAAGCTTAAAATATTCTAAACTTTTGACCTTTTTTGTGTTGGTTAAGCACAGTTTATATGACAAATAGAAAGTGGAGGTAAAATCAGCCTAGCTATGCTGAAGTTAAATGTGGCTGACTTGCACAAATGGAGTGTCACCAAAGTGCTGAAAATCCTGTGGTAATGAAGAAACTTGTTGTGACACTATTCGCGCTTATACTCAAACAGGCGTCGAAGTGGTGGTGCCTGGGTTTCAGCTGGAGGATGTGGTTGTCTCCTGGAGTCCATCAGGTTTCAGCCAGAGAATGTGGTTGTCTCCTGGAGTCGATCACGTTTCAGCCAGTGGAAGCCCTTGTAGTTCCCAGTGAATCTGGAGATCACTCGCAGGTGGTTGAGTTATCAAAGCTCACAGACTTAGGGTTTAGGGTTAAATGGGGTTCTGCTGAGCAAACCCTTAGTGGTGGCACTGATGGTGTCAGTGGCTGCTGGGGCAAAGCCTGTAATGGTGAAAAGAGGTGACCCTTGACGAAGGAACTGGCCATGGCTAAAAATAAAACAAATTTAAATGCCAAATGAAGTGTGTCTTTTCACTGTAGCCCTGGTGACTGATCACGGGCAATTTCCTTTTTTGCACAGGAGCCAAAGTATAAAGATGGGAGTGAGTACTTTGACAGCAGAATGGACAACTTCACCACAGACACGCTGGCACCATCACAGCTCTCCGCTTTGCTGTGGTCACCCGGCTCCAGCCATGTCCTGTCCCAGAGAAGTGAGTCCACCAATGCGGTCAGCAGTGATGCCCTGAGGCAGAACATTTATGAAAACTTCATGCGGGAGCTGGAGATGAGCAGGACAAACCTGGAGAACACCGAGACCTCATCGGAAACGGAGGACTCCAGCGGCGAGTCCCTCAGCTCCTTGGAGCAGCTGGATTTGTTATATGAGAAAGAGCAAGGAGTAGTGCGCAAGGCAGGGTGGCTGTTCTTCAAACCCCTGGTGACCCTGCAGAAGGAGAAGAAGCTGGAGCTGGTCACACGGCGAAAGTGGAAGCAATACTGGGTCACACTCAAAGGTAAGGCACCGCGTTGGTCCTTTGGCTTGGCAGCAGCACTTGTTTCCATGGTGCCTCAGCAACTTTTCATGCATGCTGGTTTCTGTTAGGAGATTCAAGGGGATCAGAAATTTGTGCTTGACTTTACACAGTCTATCCACATGCTGAAAGTGGAGCTTGTGCCCAGGCAACCCACTAAATGGAGCGTGTTTGGTGTTACATGAGTAGCCTTGCATTTCATACCATAGCAGGAATTGTTTTGTCTGACTTCCCAGTTTCTGTACTCACACAGAATTGGGGGTTTAGAAGATGCTTTTGGATATTTGGAGGTCAGGGACCAAACTGAACCAAAACAGAATCAAATACAGAAGTTACACCTCTGTCTCAGGGGTATTCAAAACGTAAGGATCAGGAGAAGTCCGTGGTGCCCGATTCCCTGTCACAGGCATGCAGTTCCTTGGGCTCTACTATGAGGTTTATTGAAAGCTGGGGCAAGTTAAGGTAAAAATGTTCAGTTCATTTTCAGTGCTTCAGGTGGCAAGATAATCAAGAGGTGAGCTCCCCTTGCTAGAGCATTTACACAGAGAAGTGTGCAGTTGAGGGCAAAAGAGACCAAAGCAGTAACAGCTGGGGAAGCCGTGCAGTTCCCGAAGCTCAGCTGCAATGGGCCACTCTCAGGACTCACCAGTCTCCCTCCTGTCCCTGGATGGTCTTTCCCTTTGCCTGCTCCTCGCAATGTCAGCCCCTTCTGCCTTTTGGCGGGAAACAGCCCCGTGGGAAGGCAAGCGGCTTCGAAGGGGCTGGTGCTGGTGGGCTGCGGTGTGATTGCCGGGCTCAGCGCTGCGCTCACGCTGCGCGCTGATGGCTCAGGGTAATTGGGGAGGTAGGAGTGCCGCAAGGAGCATGCGGGTGTCAGGAAGTGTGAGAAGGAAAATAACAGCTATTGTGGGGAGGAAGAGGAATTTAATGGGTGAGTTCATACGCTTTTTCTTTTTTTTTTGAATTGCGTCCAAAGGATTTGCCTTTCAGTAAATATAATGCTAAGTTAATGAGTAAGGAAATGATCAAACTTAATGATTTCCTAGCATATCTGGGGCTGGAGGAGAGAAAATAACAACTTTCCCACAGGTTGCCCTTTTCAAAATTGTGCATGGGTGTAGACCTGAAGAAAAATGAAAAGCAAACAAGAAGTGCTGGGAATGTTGTCCTTGATAGTGCTGATTTAAAAGAAGCAAACTTGCAAGAATGTAGCAATTCTGCCTAATAATTCAGAGACCTGTTATCAAGGGATCAAAAATGTAGGCAGTCTTAACAATTTAAATCACTTATCTTGATCATCAGATAGCATGATTCATGCTTACAAGCAGTGGATACAAAGGGAAAAACAGTATCTGAATGCCACCCTCTTATTGTATGTGTTTGTGTTGTGGAGTGTGATTAGGAGTTTGATCTGGCTCTTCTAAAATTCAAGTAGTTTCTAAGCAATCCTATCAAAACTCTAAACTGAAGTACATTATATACTACTAGTTCATGCCTTTCTGGGATGGTGAATCTCTGGGAAGTAATTTAGGTGTTTAGTGTTCAGTTCTTTGCTATAAAATTGGCTTATTGGTGACCTTGAACAAGTCATGTCCCTTCTTGCTACCTGAATTTCCCAGCTATGAAAAAGCAATAATAAAATTCTTTGTAAAAACTTTATTAACTTCTGACATTGTAAGACATATTAGAGACAACGATTTTTACTTTGGATGGGTGATATGACTGCATTCGTGCTGCAGAATCTTTTCCGCTTTCTTAACTGTTTTGAACATACATTCCTCATTTCCTTGATCTCGTACCTTTATTGTGCTGTGGAGACTTCTGATGCCAAAATAAGCTTGCCTGTCTGGATATCAAGGCATAGTTCTGTTTTCATAATATACTATGTCAAGATCAAGGCGTTTGCTTTGGTTCTCCTGATACAGGGTTTTGGATAAATCTGTATTTAATTTGCTCTTGAAGTTTAAATAGCCAAGATATTTTAAAATATTACTTAAAATAGCCACATATGGAAATGGAGAACAGCATGTTTCTTTGCACTTCTGTTGAGATGTGTTTAATTATAAATATGCAGAAGGTTCATAAGCACCTGGTTACCTACCAGACTTTAAAGTATACATGTCCTGAGGCCTCTGCTCTACTTTCAGGGCCACCAAGACCTGAGCTTGAATAGTAACCTTTAACAAGAGGAACTCTCTTTTCCATCTGTCCTGTCTAATTAGTTTATTTTAATGAGGGAAATTGCTTTCACTTTGCCCTCCCCCTTCAGTTCAAGTTTTGATTAAAATACTTGGACGATAATGAGTCCCAGTGGGTCTGTCAGAGTTGATGAAACTAGCTGCTTCCAGGGATCGCTGGATGTACCTGGGGTGTCATACACCTAAACACACATGCATGCCCCTCAAAATTTTTTATTTATGTACTTATCAACTGTCAGGATAAAAAAATGATGTGTCTTTAGTTACCTTCTTGATAACACATAGGGGAAATATGGGAGTTTAAAATAGAGCTTAATTTGCACTTTTCTAAAATGCAGAAGTGGAAGTGGTTGTACAGTCCTGCTGCTGCAGGTGAATACAAGAGGGGACTTGGTTTTGTTGGTTTGGTTTGTCCTGTTACATTGAAATGATGACAGCAGTGCCATGCCGATAAGCAGAGCATAACAAACCATATCCTTCTCTTCCATCTGCGGAGACCTCCAAGTGTTTCTGTGCCATAAAGAAGATCGTGAGGGCTACTAAGGGAAAAGTATAGGACCAATTCTGCAGGATTTGCTCTTACCCTAAGTATTCTGCCAGAGACTGGACAGTAATAGGAAAAGGTGCACTTAAGTACCATAGAGGCATTCCTATTTATTGGATTCATTCCTTTGAAAACTTTTCAGTCATCAGATGATTTGGTCAGTAACCGCTGATATATATTTACCTTTTTCTTGGTGTACATTCACTGGCACTGGAGAATGTGATGAAATCTATCTGATAGATCTCACTTTTCATACACTTCAGATTTGGGCTGTATGAGGACCAGTGTATTCCACCACTTTTCACAGCAAATGTGCCCCATAAACTCTAATAGGCCTATCCTTCCCCTTTACCAGACAGAAGAATCAAATAAGCCTTGATTTTGTTTCTGATTTCAGATTTGACCTTTGAGGAAGCTCCCTTTGAATTTACGTGACTTTGTGTTGATGTGTTTGGGATTTTTAATACAGCGTGAAGTGTAAATGTTAGAGAAGTACTAAAATAAGGTTGAATCCCAAGTATTTTAAAAACATCCACAAAGGAAACATTGCTATTTTGCAGTTTTTGCAACGTCGCCGTGATACATACTTCCTAGGCGTGTTTGCTTGTGCATATGTACATCCAGAGAAACACCAACAACCTGAAAATCAGCAAGTCAACCCAAAATCTCAGTTTTGGTGATGCCCTGTCTTGTGGTGCCTCTTTGATTTGAAGGAAAAACAACAACAAAAAAAACCTGACTAGAGAGTCAATGCTGTAGTCCTAGCAAACTTAACCCTTATATTGGCCGAGTTTCAGGCCCTCTACTGAGTATTTGTAGGGGTTACATCAGTAATGTACCAATGGATTACGAGGCCCTAAGGGACCACTGTGATCAGTCTGACTCGCTATGCAATGTGGCCGTAGGTCTTCTCTAAATTAGTTCTTGAATGAATTTGAGCATAGCTTTTGGAGAAGCCTCACCTTGCTTCAGAATCCACCATCAGCCTCAGATTTTTCTACCTGCTTAGGCTTAGGTTATTCTCAGTTTTCAAAATGTATTTATAGTATCTTGTCTTAGTTCTTCCAGTTTAAACATCTGGCCATAGCATAGTATTAATTTATCTTCCAAGTTAAAAAAAAACAAACAAAAACCACACCAAACTCACTATTACTAAACTGCCATTTTCCAGGAGTGAAAGTGAAGTTTATTTCCTTATTTTCTCTCGATGCACAACTGGCCTAAGAAATTCGTGAGAAAGACAGGATAATTTATAGCTAGACTATGTTAGTAATGAAGTTCAGACTGTGACCCCTTGGACAGGCAGATCAGTGCATCTCAGAGGACAGTGGCTTGTAATAGGGGACAGGAATGGCAGGGATGGGGGCACAGGCCCTTCTTAAGCCAGATTCACTGCCAAAGGTGACATGGCAATCTAGTTGTACTGCAGGGGACTGGGATCAAGTCTCTTCTGCTGTCCTCCAGAAGTAATTCCTCTTGGTGTACTCAGTATTGTCATCATCGAGGATGAAGTTTGTTTTCTGGATGCAAGTCCTGTACCTTAGGCTATTATGAGACTGAACATTCTCAAGCTCAACCCCTTTAAACCATTTAAAATTATTCTGATTGTGTTCATTGTCATCAAGTCCACAATTTGCAGGTAGATTAAAGGAAATCCAGTTTAAATTTGAGAAGTTTATTCACTAAGCGTGTTGTTTGAAGACAAAAGTTTCTACAAATCTTTTCAACAAATACAAAAATTTCTTAGGTGGCTGTTATGAAAGAGTTGGTTTATTTTAATAAAGAAACACAAAAGCTGATTTAGCTAAGCAGGAATTAATCTTTTCTACATGCGTTAACATTTTAATAGGCTGAGTTTATTCACAGAATCGCAGAATGGTTTGGGTTGGAAGGGAGCTTTTAATGATCATTTAGTCCAACCCCCTGCCGTGGGCAGGGACATCTTTCACTAGATCAGGGTGCTCAGATCCCATCCAGCCTGACCTTGAACATTTCCATATTAAGGTACCCTGTTTTTTTTTTTTTCTTCTTCAGTCTGTGGGCGTTTGTTATGTCCCTGTTAGATATCTGTTCCAACTTTTCATTGACAAATTCATGATCAATTTTACCTGTTTTCCGGTTTAGAGGATCTTCCCATTTTCTCTAGTTCAAAAGAGGGGAAGAACTGGTGTTCCCTCTCATTGAAGGGTATCTTAATCACAAAGCCATTATAATAAGTGAACTCAAATGTGAGATCCAGAACTTACTTTCTCCTTACGTTTTTTGTCCCTCTGAACTGCAAAGGTTGTACTCTTCTGTTTTATGAGACCTATGGAAGGAACTCAATGGAGCAGAGCAGTTTGCCTCGATACGCCCTCTTCGCAGAAGACAGTGTAGTACAGTCTGTTCCAGAACATCCCAAGAAAGAAAATGTGTTCTGTCTCAGCAATTCTTTTGGAGATGTCTACCTATTTCAGGTAACAGTATGGATACCTAACTTTGTGATTGTTTCCCTTTCAGGATGTGTTTGTGAGTGTGCACATGCATGTATATGACTGTATGTACATACACATCCACACACATCATGCATGTGCCTTTGACTTAAAAATAATAGTATAGTTACACTATTATACTATACTATTATAATACTGATTTAAGTGTATGATATGACTTCCGATATATGATGTTACCTCAGTTGGCCCAGGTAATTATGCTTCAGAAATAAAAAGAACACAATCTGAAAGACACTTCTGGTACCTTGTGGTTACAGGCTTCTAGAAAATCAGCTTTATTATAATTTTTTATTACAATTTTTCTTTTCCATGTCAGTTAGCATTTCACCTGTACAGAATGATGGGCTCAGCCCTGAATCTGGTGGCCTCAAACAGAGTTTGCTTGAGCCAGACGTTCGAAAAAGAGGGCTAAAAATAATCTAAAGATCTTAGCTGCCTAACTGCGCCACTGGAAGTGTTGAGAAAGAACAGTATTATGTGGAACTGCCTGCATAAAAACATGTTGATTTATAGGCACACTTGTAAAGATCTCTAGAGACACTCTGTGCAGATGTAGTCTCTTTACCTTGCTGTCCTCTCTCCACTAACTTGGCATATTGTAAGAAAGCAAACACCTCTCCTCAGACCTTACCTGTCAAAGTTATCTACGTTGCTGTGTTACCTGCGGAAGAGGAAGTTCATCTTTGAAATCTGTTATTTTTACTTCAATTAATTGAAGGTATGAAGGATGCAAGTCATATCTTTCACGTAGCTCCTGGGACTCTGTTGTGCTTGCAGAGCCTTCAGGCGTTGCAGGTCTAAGAAGCAGAAGCTGAAGGTTGGAGGCAAGTCATGGCAGAGTGCAGGAAAAGCTCACAGTTCCTTTATTTGCACAGTTTTAAAGATAAAACTGTATTTCACTGGTTTTAAGATAAAGTACCTAAGATCTCAGTGAACCCGTCAAGCACTTCATGTCCTAGAGCTGCTGATTTTTTTTTTCTTCTTGTCTGCTCATAATGTTGCATCGTTGATTTGTTTCACAGGCGACAAGCCAGACGGATCTGGAAAACTGGGTAACTGCCATACACTCAGCCTGTGCTTCCCTCTTTGCGAAGAAGCTTGGGAAAGAGGACACTGTTAGGCTCCTGAAAAATCAAACTAAGGGTCTCTTCCAGAAGATTGATATGGATAGCAAGATGAAAAAGATGGCAGAGTTGCAGCTCTCAATTGTTAGTGATCCAAAAAACAGGAAGGCCATAGAGAATCAGGTACTTGAAACAGTATTCTTACAGGACCATATTTATCATTGCTTCTTGCTTTGGGCTCCGACTGTCAGTGCTTTCTAGGCCTGAGAGTAGTACTGGGGATAGCTGGCATGGTGGTTGTCATTGTTGCCAGGTTTCTACAGTAATCCAGAGCAGCGCGGGAGGTAGGCGTCTCAAAGCTGAGGATCAGATCGATCTGTTTTATGAGCACAAAGCTGTTTCTTTTTTCTTCTGGAAAAATTTAATTAATTTTCACTGGTTTATGATATACTTAGCTTTTAATAATACCTAACTGTTACACAGCATACCACAGAATATAAAGTATGTTCTGTGAATAATTTATTATTGAATTGCAGTGGAGATTTAAGAGTAGGTACTTAACAATACCATTCTGCACCTTAAGACAGGATGTGAAGAGTACTTTATCCAGATAAAATTGGAGGAAGGACTGAGGCAGACAAAATCATCTTCTTCAGTTGAAATTTAGCCATGGCTAGAAGGCCAGGATCCACTAGGCTTCTTAAAAAGCCTCGTATGAGTCTAAATGAGAACAGGAAGTCAAGACTGGAGTTTTCTATCCGAGGTGGAAAAACACTGCCATGAGTACCACTGGCCTGAGCATTAGACCAGTATCAAATCGAAGAAAAGGGGGACGCTTAGTCACTAACAGCACTTCTTGTAACACTCTGTGGTTGCGTGCTGGGAATTTTTAATCTCAGTATAAGCCTGGGCCCATCGCTGCTTAGCTTGGGAGAGGTAACATAATAAAGGCAAGATCTTTGTCCAAGGCTGGAGCAGACAAAATGTTCGCATCCAAACTTGTGTCTAGGCTAATTTGTTTCATTGCAGCAAGAAATGAGCTGAGTCATTGGTTGCCTCCCTCTGCAAATCTGAGTATGGCGTCCGGATGCCTTATGGGTTATTCTGATCACATTTTCAAATTATGATGGCAGG